CATTTATATATGGGATCTATATTTCAGTATCTCCCTTTTTCTGTTTCTTCATTTTTCTTTTATACTTAGAATGAACATGGGGCTCTGATTTGGTTTACACTGTCTAAACAGGGGTGATTTTTCTCCCCACAGGGCAATGCTTTCGTCTGATGCATAAGTTATTCAGGCTTTAAATTAAAGAGTCAATTTGGCCTGACTAGACAGTAGGGAATTCAAATTTAGGTGGCTAGCCTTGTTGGTTTTTGCTAAGTTCCTCTTGTTCTTTGATACTACTATATGTTAGGGGTTAAGGTTTGCATGCCTTTAAATTTCGTGAGACTCACTATTGTGTTTGATTTACATGATAATTTGGTTTGTTTGGTTTATACTGAGGTAACGTGTATTTTTTTCCTAAAATTTGCAAAGGTTGAAGATGCTGCGAAGAAAATGTAGTGCATTGGTGATTGTTTATAAAATGTAGTGTATATTTCAAGTTTTTAGAGGCCCGGGGGATAGAGTGCATAACAGTCCATTTGAAAAAGACTGATTCTGCTGAAGCTCTCTTTCAAGCCTGACGAATTCACTTCCTGCATTAACAGCACAAATACACCTGCCAAAGAAACCCCAACCTAGGATCACATACACACAAATAAGGGTAACGTCTGCGTACACTCCCAAGATTCTACTGGGCTTGTTGTGTGTGTGGGTAGAGGATCCTCTTTCCAGCTTGTACAGACTACCGTGTCAAACGGTAGGTGTTACCGTGTCGGAACTAATGTACTGTCACAGATGCAGTTTCATTCACCTTTTCAATGTTCGCCTCTTTATGTAGACTTTGAGCAATATGCCATGATCAATTTCATTTTCAAAATGTAGTGTATATTTCAAGTTTCAATTCAATCTCATGCATATTTTGTTGTGCCTGTTATATAGCCTGGGCTAACACATACAATATATTTTTAAAAAAAAATAAATACTCCATATTAGCCTTCTATAGTACCAGGCAAACAGTTTAATTACACCGATTGATTATTGGGAAGCAGTTGTTGATCTCATGCAAAAGTTGAAAAGTACATTATTTGAACTTGGAGTTTCAAAAGAAGTAAGCAATCACCATGTTACTTGATTTTCCTGAGCCGAAAAATGACATTCTCTCTGTCCATTAATTAAATATTCTTCTTTAATTTTACAAGCAAATTAATAAAGAATAAAATATGTTGATTTTTCATATTTGTCCTTAGTTAATGGAAAAAAGTGAAATAAATGTAGGGATAGTAGGATAAGTAGTAATTAGTACTCCGTATGAGTGTGAGGGTAGTAATATTGTTTAAAGAAAACATATTTACTAAAAAAAGGAAGTGAGAAGAAACTTTATGGACGAGTAAATAATGAAAGTGGTGGGATGAAAATTCAGCGATGAAGAGTAATTTATTCAAGCTTGAATGAAATTCTTGATGTTCTTTCATCCGAGTGATTGAATTTCTTTAATATTATCTCATCATGAGTTGATAAATTCAGAGTACTAAACAAGTTAATCATTGATATATTAACAAATTACCGAATATAAATTTAAATTTAAAAATTACATATAATCTTAAAATTTCAATGCTTGATGTTACAATGGAAGTATCACGTGAATCACTTGAAAATGAAATGCAATCATTCAAACATTACATAAAAAACACAAGTACTGTACAATCTAATTTTTACTGTTTAATTGAACATATAGTTGCAACAAGTTTATATTATATAATATGAAATAGCTCCACACTTCTAAGAAAATGATAATCGTTAGAATAACTTGAAAGAGCTGAAAGATACTAAAAAGAGTTAGAATAAACCAGAAGAAATTGAAAAGGATTAAGCTATGTGTACTCCAAGATTTGTACCCCAATTTGTACCTCACAAGTTTGCACCTTCATTTTCTGTCAGTGTAATATTATGGTGATAGATCACACATGCACAAAATGTTACTGCGAATTTTTATTAACGTACCAACATTTTGTATTAGTGTATACCTTTGGTGTAACTTTGAGGTACAATTTTTAGTGCAAGTGTAAAAACTAAATTTTCCAACTCAAAGTTTTTGTACGGACTATGATCATGCATACTTCTTATCACCCACAGTGAGATTATAACTTCTAATTTTATTCATGACTAAATTTTACCCGTGCGTTGCACGGTAAGTAATTTATTTCAAAATTTCACAGAATAAAATATTTGTATACAAACTTGAATAAAATTAAATGTTATTCACTTTGTTACTTTAGAATATGTATTTCCTTCATAACAAAAAATATACTTCACTTATATCCAATGAATACGGAAAACAATATAGTACAGCCTCAAGAACATTTAATAATGTATCAATAAATAAAAACACGCCATCATTTTTCAAGGATACATTTAATGTTCTATGTGTTAATGTTTCATTTATTTCCATGAACACACACACACGCACATACTCTATACATTTGAAAGTAAAATAAAAAGCTTACAACATTCCAATACCAAACACAAATAAGCATACAATAAAACTCAAAAGAGTAACTATCCCAGGAATATAAATTTGTCAAGGCAAAGGATGCCCAAAGACAAAATTCGAGAAGACCAAAACTTTTACTTCAATAATTACTGTTTGGATCAAATTGAACTCATAATCTAAAATAGGTTGTTACAAACTTAAGCACTTCGTAAATTTCTACGGATTCAATTTTTTTCTTAATTTAAATTTTACTGTAAAAAATAGATTGATAAATCATGTTTCCCTAAACCAAAAGCACATACTTATTTTCATTAACCCAATTTTATTGCATCTCTTTCGTGCAAAAAATGAAACACAAAATCAATTATTTTCACCACACTCTAGCTTAGAAAAGGAAATGCTATGAATTAACATTCTGCCTTGTTCTTTATGAATTCTAATAATAACTATGACAAAATTTTCATAAACATAAAATTGAGTAGAAAAAGATTACCACATGATCACGTAATATACCTCAAAATCAAATAAAATTACACACTTCAGTGAATTGATGGTGTAATTCAAAATATTATAATTTTAAATATCAAATTTTAAAGATAAACTTCTACTCAAATCTAAAGGGAAAATATATCGAGATTAAGAATTGCATAAAACTATATCCTTAACATTTTAAAAATGAAATCAAATGTAGATTAATTTTTTTTAAAAGCTCAAACACTAAGAATCCATCACTTTAGAATCTTTTGGTATGAGGTTTACAACAAAATATTGAAATTGGATTTTGGAAAGTAGAATTAGATTGCAAAGGGGCAAGGTCTGCATATCAATCTCAAATTCCAAAAAAAAAGTATAAAAAAGAGTAATTTCAAATTTGCCCTATGATGAAAATTATGTTAGACACGATTTTATTATGTGGCCTGAGTTATCATTTATCTAATTAATTGATCATTGACCTAATAAATACCCTACGTACTTAATTGGTAATTATTCGATGGACGTAATTACCCTTATGACCTAATTAGGGTTTCCCCTTGGGTGTATATATAGAGGTCATTAGGCAGAGATCAACACACACCAATCTTATGCCTTCTCTCTGCCTCTCTATTCTCGTGAGTCTCATCCTCACCTTAGCCATCATAACGATACACTCTAAACGGGAACTCGATCTGCGTGAGAATCATGGCTTCATCCCTAACTACGTTTACAGGATTATCAGGTACACATGATTAAATCCCTAATTTATATTTTATGTTTAAGAATTGATCAACATGTGGTATCGGAGCATTATGTTGATAAATCAATTCCTAATTTTTTCTGAACTGTAATTGGAAATCATACACTGTGAAAATTCCTTTTGATTTTTTTTCTTCCGATCTGGATTATCAGTGATGTCTCCATAATAATCCACTTGTGGATTTACTTTCTCAGCACAAAACGGAATCACAATTGCTTTACTTCGATCAAAGTTAAAACAATTTTTTTTTTGTGATTTGCATTGAAAACAAATCAGTATTATTTTTTCTCCCTCTTTTCGGTTAAAACAAACTCCAATTGAATTGTTTTAATCTCACCGGAAAAAAAAACAGATTTGTTTTTCCAAATCTCAACTAACTGTTTCTTGATCTCCTAAAGTGAAATCAACTTTTATTTTTAATTGGATTACCCGGTAAATATAAACCTAGTAAACCATCCATGTTCTTCATCCTTATTTTGATGAAATTATCTTATTTTAGTAAGTTGATTTGGAGTATAATTGTGTTTCCTTAAATTATATGGCATATCTCACTTTTGCATAATATATTCTGTTTCCTTATTTGTTAATTTATTTTGCTCAGAATAGCAAAACTAAGTAAGGAATATGCTAAAATACCATTTTTTTAAAAAAAAAAAAAATTAAAATGTTTACTTGTTGGAAAATCTCTTGCCTTATATGCCTTTTGATTTTCTAATTAAATTAATCTTAATGGGTCCTCAATTTTTCGTAGCCCCGCACCGATCCGCTTTAACTTTTGCGGCTAATTAATTATTAACAATAAATTATAAATCATTTGACTAATCTTAAATAAAATTTATTTTTTATGATTAGTTAAATTGATTTATTTTGCTTGACTTGAATAATACCTTAGAATACACTTCTGCCCAAAGGTGATATGTAATATTTGTAAAATTTATTTCAAGTCTTATTAATCATTGTCATTTAGTACATATCCTTAAATAGATATTTACATGACATTCGCCTTAAATACATAATATTTCACTTCTGTCCAAAGATGATGTGTTATAATTGTGTACTGCGAACAAAATATATATGTGCCTTAAAATTTAAATGTTTCACTACTGCCCAAAGGTGATGTGTTACATTCAAATTGCACATCATTATTTTATTATTCATAATTCTTAAATAAGTGGTTATAACCAAAGTGAAAGCCATCTGTTTGAGTAGAATTAAATTTAGTCTATTATTTTTGGTGTTATAATAGACTCTTATCACAGCTTCATTACTATATAATGGTCTTTATCTTCGCCACCCTTAGTTCATTACCCCTTAAGTTCTCCTTTAATTATGTGTCTTATTTCTCTCATCTGAATCCACTATCAGCCCCAAATATGGGAATTGAAACCTTGAACGGTGCGAATTTTTCTTCATGGAAAGATTCACTGATGCTAACTCTTGGCATGTTGGATTTTGATTATGCACTGAGAGAGCCTGCCCCTCCTGCTCTCACTGATAAAAGTACTGCTGAAGATAAAATAGTACATGAGAGATGGGAGAGGTGCAACAGAATGGCTCTTATGCTCATTAAAAATTCCATCAGCATAATCATCAGGGAAGCTATTCCAGATTCATCTAATGCTAAAACATATCTGGCTTCCGTGGAGGAACAATTCAAGGCAACTTCTAAGGCACATGCTAGTACTCTTATTTTGAAGATGGTGACTACAAAATATGACGGGAATAGCGGCATTCGTGAGCACATCATGATGATGAACGACATGGCCCGTAAGCTCAAGGGATTAGACATGGAGATCAGTGAAGGTTTTCTGGTGCACTT